TGAATAAAATCAGGCTGGAAAGGCGAAGGTTTCCATCCAGAGTGGGAGAGATGCCTGAAAGGAGCAGGAACAAAAATAGGAGCCACTTCCCCGCGGGAGCTTGGCTGGTGCCTGCGCAGGTGACTGCAGGGCTGCGTCTGCTTCAGCTAGTGATTCCAGTGTCCTCAGCCTCTGCTCGGGGTGGGGGAATGCCCGTGCTGCCAGGCTGGCCACAAAATGCCAAATTCCAATGGGTCTGTCACATACAGAGATGCAGGAGACGGGGCTGCTGCTGTCAGTCAAGCTGCAATGCAATAAAGGAGACTGAGCTCAGCTGAAATATTCATTAAATGCAGGTGAGCTCGTGGCCCTTCACCTTCCAATAAGCACTGGAGGGCAAGAAAAGGCCTCCTCTATTGTATTTGGAAGCTTTTGTTTCTGGAAGTCATTTTGAAATCTAAAAATAATCCTCCAGAAATGAAATGTTTGCTTTCGAGCTGCAGACAGAGACTCAGGTTCTGCAGATGAAGCTGGAGGGTATTATTAGCTCTCCTGTTTTACATGTGCACTGAAACTTCTTATTTTTCTCCGCTGCATCTGAATGGCTGTGAGCGATGCCAAGCTGTTGCGACAGGAAGCGTGTGTAAATGTGTGTGCACGCACCCCTGCAGCCCTGCACACCCTTTTTTTCCTGTGCATTTGTGAGCTCTGTCTCACTGCTTCTTCCCCAGGAAGTGTCTGTCCTCGTTAGCTCCCAAGTGCTGCACCGCCACACCAAGGAATCCTGTCTTATGGTTAAAATAAACGTGCTGTACAGAGGAAAGAGCTTTTACCTGGGTTGGCTTCTCCCTGCTCTTCTTGCTCTCCACTCCATGTGCCTTGGACCTCTGTTGCCATCTGCTTTCCTGCCTTAGTTATTTTATATTGACACTTGACACATGCAGGGATGGGTAGAAGATTTGCCCCTGGCTCTGGGATTTGGAATTGCCTGATCCCACCTCGGGGGGGTCAACAGGGATGTGGGAGTGTCCCCAAAAGCAAAATCTCAGCTCGACCGTTCCAGGACACGCGACCTCGGCGAGGCCACGTCCCTTCCTGCAGACAGGGGACACCCGGAGCCTCACTGCTCTCCTGCCTCCCCCAGGTTGCCACGACAGGGCCGTGCTGCTCTACGAGTACGTGGGCAAGCGCATCGTGGACCTGCAGCACACGGAGGTGCCAGACGCCTATCGAGGAAGAGGAATCGCCAAGCACCTCGCCAAGGTACGGAGCGCTCGGCGGGAGCGGGAGCCGCTCGGGCTGGCCGGGATCCCCTCCGGACAGGAGGCAGCGAGGACTGAGCCGTGAGGAGACGGCTCCAGAGCATCTCCTGGAGCCACGTGCAGCCACAGGGCCGTGTGGGATCCCTTCTGATCCCAGTCCTGCCCTGCTGCCTTCCTGACCGCTTTCCTGGTGTGGTTGTGGGCAGGGGTGGGGGATAGTTTTTTGCCTCAGCATTTCTGCTGCAGGAGGGAGGCCAAGTTTTGATCCTCTGCTTTGCTCCAAACCCATTTTTTCTCCTAGGCTGGGGGGAAATTGCATTTACTGAGAGAAAGCTGCTGATCATTTTGCTCCTCCAGCTCATTTCTTGTTTCTGTCTGATCTGAAGGCCGTGGGAAGAGGTGACTAGGGACTGCTGAGGGTCCCCAGGTTCTCTGCACTCAAGAGCAGAGAACAGAGCAGCTTGTCCCATGACAGGGTGGCCTGTTGGCAGCTGATA